GGAAAGGCATCTAATAAACAAATATTGTTTCAAAATGTTTCCATTTCTCTGATTATCCATGAAGTTGGTAATCTTTTTTCACTTGTAATTTTACTTCTATAAATTACTAGTTTGTATCCTCTGTGAAATATCCCTTGGGATTCTTTGCCATTTTTTTTTAGAAATTTTCTTCATATTAGTAATATTAACCCTTTCTTGGGACCAGCAGTTAGCATAATGGCTGTCGCTGGAGTCCCACATAGTCGACCGCGGTTCACGTCCCGGACCCGGTGGCTTAAATCACCCCGGGCGCGTGCGCGTGCATGCCAAAGAGCCCAAGAGGAGAACAGAGGAGGAGGGATTGCGGTGTGGCCATCCCCCCGGGGGGTGATTTCTCGCCTTCTGTCTCTCTGTCTCTCTCTCTCTGTCTGTCTGGCAAGTGCACGCGCCTTATAGCAAAAACCTCTTAAAAAAAAAAAAGTAATATTAACCCTTTCTTGTTATAGTTATTGCGACTATTAGGTTGTTGGAAAAATCATGACATATTTTTGCTATGCACAAGTGAGTTATGACTTTTCAGATAACCCAGTATTTTTTCCCACCCTACTCTACTGTTTATATCTTAATTATGTTCATAGTATTTTTTTCTGTATATATTTTTAATATAGTCAAATCTAGCAGTTTCTACTTTTCTGGTTTATGAATTTGTATCACAGAAAGGTGCTCCTTATTTCAAGATTTTTACTTTATGTTCCATATTTTCTTCTAGCGTTTTTATTGATTGCTTTTTAAATTTTTCAAGTAATCTGGAATTGTACATACTTCTTCTAAGAAAGTATGTTCAGTTATGATGAAAATCATCTGGTAAATATAGCGTTATGTAATGGCCAGTTTTTCAGGAATTTATATATTTCAAATACAAAGAAATACTCAAATCAAATATAAGTAATAGTCACTGCCCTCCCTATTACCTGTTACCAAAGCTTTCTGTTCAGCTATGTTTATGTGGCAGTTAGTTTGACCCATAAATTTGAATCTCTTTCAAGAAATTATTATTTGATAATTTACACTCTTTATTTCATTAATGTTTGTTTGGCATCCAAAGTTTTCTGACATTCTAAAAGTACCTGGAATAGGTACTAAAACATCACTTAAATCCTGGACATGTACATCAACTTCAAATAGTAATAATGATACTTATTTTAGATAGCTGTTATAATAATTAAGCAATTTCATACATGAAATGGCCCTTTAAACTATAAAGGAATATCTAAATGTAAGTCATTTCTGCTGCTAATATGTTTGGAACAAACAGAAAACCACAATAATTGCTCTGTAATAATCTACAAATACATTTAAAAGTCATAATGCAAATTTATAGGACCAAACATTTTAAGGTGGTTTTCATTGGGTAGACATATTTCTTACTTATGTTCTTATTTACTTCCAGAAATATTCTCATCTTCAGCTGGCACAGCAAGAGTATCCGAGGCCATACTTCAAGAGCATGCTGTGGTGGGGTGGTGTCATCCTGATGGCCTTGGGAGAGACAGGGAACTTTGCAGCCTATGGTTTTGCCCCCATCACTCTCATCGCTCCATTAGGTTGTATGTCTGTGACAGGTGAGCCATTTTCCTGTGTTTGGAAAAACAGAAATTTAAAGAAATCAGAATAATTGCAAAAAAAAAATATATATATATGTATGTATATATATATGGGGACAATCTTATTTTCTGGTTTCTTAGCATGTTAACATGGAACAATTATCCTGCTAATTTCAGTTATCTTCTGTCATGCTACCACATTAATCACAAAGACACTTGTGTTTTGTAGCTATATCACTTATGTTTAAAAACCTGATCCCTAGTATCAGTCTCTTATAAGTGAACAAGAATAGGTAGTATGGGACCAGTAGATGACATAATGGCTAGGTCGCTGGACTCCCTTGTAGTCGACCGTGGTTCAAGTCCCAGACCCAGTCGCTTAAACTCACTCCGGGTGTGTGTGTGTATGTGCCCAAGACCCTGAGAGGAGAATGGAGGAGAAGGGATTGCAGCGTGGCCATAGTCTGGTGGGGTGATTTCTCACTTTCTGTCTGTCTCTTTATAGTGAGCCCATGCACCCTATAGCAAAAACCTCTATAAAAAAAAAGAATAGATATTATCAAACTATACTTTTAATCATTAATGTATTGTCTAAAAGCATTGAAATACATTTTTTTAATTTTTTCTTTTCTTTTCTTTTTTTGTTTTTGGAGAGGTTTTTGCTATAGGGTGCATGGGCTCACTATAAAGAGACAGACAGAAAGTGAGAAATCACCCCCCCAGGGGGGATGACCACACCGCAATCCCTTCTCCTCCATTTTCCTCTCAGGATCTTGGGCACACACATGCCCAGCGTGAGTTTAAGCTGCCAGGTCCTGGACTCAAACCGCAGTTGACTACGTGGGAGTCCAGCGACATAGCCATAATGCTAACTGCTGGTCCCCAATATTTTTATTCATATATTAAACTATCACATATAATTAGTGTCTTTGAGACTTCATCTTGACTCCATAGTTTAGCATCTCTTTGACGTTAAGAATTAAATATCAGTTATTCTACATTATTAAGAATATGTCATTTTATGAAAATGTCACAATTATCTAATTTCAAAACTATATGGCTTACTAAATACATTTAGAAAAGAAAAGTGAAGTATTGCTGAAAAATTTTTTTAAAAGAGAAAAAAATTATTGTTAAAAGGGAGAACAGATTCTCCAAGCACATTAAAATCAATAAGAATTTTTGGTTTTACTTCTTATCTGCTGCTATGGAAACAGTATGTTTCTACATTTCTGGGAATTTAGAACCTTAATTGAAATAGAAACAAGTTGATAGTCATTGTCTGTACAACTAGCTCAGACATATCATGTGTTTATTCCAATTTTAGTATTTCTCCTCAAAGGTTATATGGTAGTCTTAAAGAATGCATAGTTTAGGGGCAAGCAGGTGGCATGGTGGTTAAGGGTGCTGGACTCCCACATGGCCGACTGCAGTTTGAGTCCTGGACCTGGTGGCTTGCTTTCTCATTCTCTCTCTCTCTCTCTCTCTTTCTCTCTCCCCTCCTCTCCCCTGTCTCTCCCCTCCCCTCCCCTCCCCTCCCCTCCCCTTCTCTGGTCAAATTAAAATAAATAAAGTCAAATAAAATATTTCTTTTTTAAAAAAGGAAAGAAAGCATAGTTTAAATGGAAACAATAGATATTAAAAGAGAAGTTTATTTTATTTTTAAAATTGTTTCTTCTTCTTAATATTTAAAATATTTTATTTAGAATACTTTCATGGCCCTGCTGCTGTGGGACAGCAGTAGAATAAGTGTCCTTCAAGGCTGGAAATCATATGGCTGACCACAGGTTTGGTTTCCTTTGATTGGCCTGAAAACATGCTGAGTGTACATGTAAGCACCCAGGATTCTGAGGAGCTGGAGCGCTGGATAAAAGGAGTCACAAAGTGATGAGACCCTGTCGATGGTGCTTTCTCTGTCTCTGTCTCTCTGTATCTCTCTCTCTCATGCATGCATGTGGTCACATGCACTCTCTAATATTAAAAAAAATACTTCCAGGACCAGCAGATGGCATAATGGCTATGTCGCTGGACTCCCATGTAGTCAACCATGGCTCGATTCCCAGATTTTGTGGCTAAACTCACGCCAGGCGCATGTGTGTGCGTGCCCAAGATCCTGAGAGGAGAATGGAGGAGAAGGGATTGTGGCATTGCCATCCCCCCTGGGGGGTGATTTCTCACCTTCTGTCTCTCTGTCTCTGCCTGTCTTTCTGGTGAGCACACGCGCCCTATAGAAAAACCTCTCAAAAAATAAAAATCAAAGGAAATATTTTCTTAATTTATGATAGAATGTTTAGCAAAGGACACATATTTTACTTTCCAGAAATGCTTTACTTAAAGTAGTTGTGCTGTTACTACTCTGAAGAGGAACACAATTTCTGTAATCACTTACCATTTTTAACATTCCTGTAAAATGAGCAAATTGGGTATACCTTATTTTCTATTTCCTGCATATAACGCATACATGGGCATTCTGAATTGTTTTTTCTTCTCACAATCTGAGCAATAACATAAAAAATCTAGTTATAGTGTCAATTTGGGATCTTTACAGACTCTAGTTCATGAGAAAACGTTGCAATATCCTTCATAATGACTGTGTATAGTGCTAACATTTAGTTTTGACTCTGCTTAGCTCAGTTTCCATGCAATAGCAAAAACAAAAATGTGCAGACATTTCAGATAGATACCTGGGGGAGGGTTGAGTACACCACTTCATATTGGAATTCTCCATTTAGCTCAGATCCTGCAATGATTGCTCTGTAATAATGTGCAATTAAATTTAAGCACCATAATGCAGATTTGTAGGACCAAAGTTTTAAGGCAGTTTTAATTGGGTAGGCATGTGTTCTTATTTATGAAAAACCTTTTGGAGAGAGGTAAAAGGGAGCTACTCAGCTAGTTTACACAAAGGGAGAAGATGGCTGGATCTGTTTTAAAGATCAGACATTTTGCAGAGATGAAATATAACCAGGCTTCACAGGGCCCAAAGTAAGAATTCAGAAGTTGCCAGAGCTTAAGGGTCTGCAGTGATGTTCCTCACAGAGCTTAGTGAACCCGAGTGTCTGCTCATCTGGGCAGGACTTGCTCCAAACATTCATTAATAACTGGAAGCGTAAGCATTCCCACCTTCCTCTCAGAAGAGTGTCCTTTTCACCCCAAGTGCCCTGCAGGGCCAGTCCACCCACCTTCAACTGTTGAACCCACTGCCTTAACAGATAGACTTCATGCTGCAGATCAGTTTTCTTGTGTGCTCTTAGCCCAAGTAGTGTTTCCTGTTCAGAACATTTTTAGCGACCTCCATCTTTACCTATTTAAAATGACTCAGAGAAGTGAACTTACAGCTTCAGACCCAAATCGTTTCCTACTTTACAATCTTTGCCAACAGTAATATGTGCTCAGAAATAGTATTCCCACCGCCCTGAAATTGAGGTTATCATAGAGTGTCATGAGTGGGTAAGAGACTGCTGGAGAGGAAGGATTTCCTCGAGAACAACCCCCTGCCACTCTGAGATTCTTTATAAAGGTTTGAGAATCTCAAAAAAACTTGAAGTAAAAGGAAAATTATTTCAAAACAGTTGTTATCTTGTGGCTGTCTACAAATGAGGCAGAAAGAATTGTGTCCAGACTTTCCTGTAATAGAACTTTTATTTTTCCTCTCTTACGCATATTTCTTGATAGATTTAAGAAAGAAATTAAATGTCCCTTTGGATTACACTTTTTTAAAGATAATATTTTGTTGTAATAGTGCATGGGAGATTATATATTTTTTCCAATTCTTTTCCAATTGTTGCTTTTTGTTTTCAAATTGAAAAACAAGAAAAAAAATAAAATTTAGAACATTTAAAGACTGAAAAAAGTCCAAGTGACGCCCTTCCACCTGCCTCTCCTCAGGTGATCTGGTTCCTACAGACTGTGCTCCATTTCTCCTTACCAGGCCTAAGGAGACACCATGTGGGTGAGCACGTGTGCCAATTTTGCTACACACAAGGTTGCTAATATGCCAGAACTATTATTTTGTCTTATATAATCAAAATTTCTGCTCCTTTTGTGTGCTTCAATTGAGCAAAGAGAGAGAAGAAAGTAATAGAAAGAGCGAGGTTAGGAATAGTGTGTTAAAATACTGTAGTCAGCATTCGGGGGATTTCAGTTTGCTTCCTGCCCAGTTACTCCTGCCTTGAGACATGTTCCTTTCCCCCATGCTCTGTGTACTGCTGTTCCTCACTGGCATGCTCACCCTGAGGTAGCACTTCTCAAGCAATAGCTTTATGGGTGGTTTCTTACATGTCCTAAACCCAGAAAATCCCATAGTCAAACAGGGAGAGATTGCAAACGCTGTGCAGTGGCATTGGTATAGGGTTTCTTAGGAACCTGGGATGGCCATTACATCTGTAACTCTTTCAGAGGCGGATGCAGTAGGCCAGGACTCTAAACCCTGAGGACCACAGGTGCTTTTATCTGAGCACCTCAAGGGACAACAGCTCTGCAGGAACCCCTTCAGGGATTTCTTAAGACAGTGTTTATGATCAGTCACAGCATGCTAGAAACTCAGCCTAAAGAAGCTGTCTGCCAAGCAGTGGAGACCATTCATGGGGAATGGGCTTAGTGCACAGGTGGGTCTGTATGTCCAGGCCTGGGTCCAGCATTCTGAGGGTCTCAGGGCCTTCATATGTCCTGTATCCTCTTTTACATCCACTATACTTTTTCTCATTAAAAGTCTTTCTCAAGGGGCCAGCAGTGGTGTGGTAGTTAATGTACTGGACTCCTGCATGGCCAATCGTGGTTCGAGTCCCAGACCTGAAGACTTGCTTTTTCACTTTCTCTCCCCCCAGCACACTGGTAAGCATGTGTACTCTGTAGCAAATTTAAAAATTATAATAACAAATAAAATTAAAGTAAATAATTATTTTTGAAAAAGTCTTTCTCAGTGAATAATAGGTCCAAAAATGTATTCTGACTAAACTGCCAGTTATACTGACTGTGTGGTTGATTCTAGATGTTGATCTGTGTTCCTATTTCTAATA